TGAAAATAAAACAGTCTAGGATGGTTTTATCTGAGGCATTTAATTCAGGGCTACAGCCATACTCTTTTTCAAAAAGTTCAGCTGGATCATAAGTTCCTCATTGGCACAGGCAACACAGAACAGCCAAATAAATAGAACAAACTCGTTGCCAACATGGCCTCTCATCCAACAGCTGTGCAGTTCTTATTCTTTTAGCCAGTGGAGATACAGTATAATGTATGTACAGAAGATGACTAAAATTTAATTTGCACCAGTTGTAGTACAGAAACATAAGGCACTACACAGAGTTGAAATAATGTGGATGGTACCATCTGTATATAATTGTTAGGGTTACATTTTCCATTACATTTTCTTCTGGAGGAAGGGGAGGATATACAACAGGGTAGCAATCATAACAATCATGCATTACAAAACATCAATCAAAAATCATACTTCCATTTACTACAGGGTGATTTGCATTTCATTCTGACACGTACAAATGGTCTATTTCTAAACAATGTCACAGAAAATTATATGAAATTAAATTTTTATTCCAAATATTGTAAAGCTATAGGCCAAACAGATGGACAGGTATGGCATTACTTCATTTGCGGCATGCTAAGCTTGGCTAAGGGCCTATAGAGCACAAATGTTTCAGTAGTCCTTAGGGGTTAACAGGCATTAAATTCAATGAGGCCCAGAAATTAAGAGATCTGGCAATTGTTGCTCTTTGTTTTAACCCTGGAAGAGACTGCTGGAGTGGGAAAATAGCGATTCTTGATTAATCAACCTGTCATTTTCAACTCTTTTAAACAGTTTCTTTAAAGGGGAACTACATAAATTATAACAAAACCAAAAATAAAGCAAAAAAAAACAACAACAAAAAACCAAAGCAAAAATCACAACAAAAAACTGTTTTAAGAGCCTGAATTTTGTGTCTTTTTTTGGAATGTAAATAAAAAAAACCTATAAACATATATAAAGAAATACTTCAGACACACCACTTCCAAAATCACCGTTCATCATAGGTCAATTAAAAAAAGCTGAAAAAAGACACACATCCACACCTTAAACAGTGTGGGATCAGGGCCTTATTAACACTTGCAAACCTGTTTAACTTTAAGCATGTGAGTAGTCCCAGTTAAGTGTGGGCAAAACTGTTTGCAAGATCAGAGATTAATTCTGCAGATTAAAATAAAAATGAAAAACCATTTGCCTCTTTCACTTACCTGCCAAGTCCTTAGTTTGGGTGTTTGCATTTCCCTGCAAGTATTAATGAAATTACCAACATGAAATCTGAATGACTTCAAGCTCCTCAAATCTCTAATTAGAGCTGCCGTTGAACAGAGTATTTTCCTTTACGATTCCTTGATGGCAACAACTCCTGCCAGGGAAATATCGACTGCTAAACTGGGGATTTTAGCAGGGAAGCAAAAGAAAATCTGATTTTTTAAAAATATGTTTCTTTGAAATATATTTATTTGGTAGTTTTAAAATATTGTTATGAGATAGGTAAAACCTAGTTATGGGTTGAGTTAAAAACCAATTGAGATTGATAGGTGTAAAGTCACTCTTCAATTAATGTAAATGTAAGCATAAGCTCCTACACGCAGGACAAAAGGTATGTGTGGACCCACCCAGCATCTTTGGACTGAGTATGGTTTTGGGTCATGTGAGTATAGGAAGAGAACACACAGAAACTGAAAAAGACAAGGGCAGAGATAGAGAGAGGCAGAGGTAAGAAAGCCAAGTAGGAGCCTGTAAGAACAGTGTAACACTGGAAAAACCTAGGGAAAGAGCTTTTGGGTCCGGTGTTTGCTAAAGAGGCAAGGGGGCTGTAAGAAAAGAAACTGCTTTTCTTCTTGGGTCCTTCTGCGTTCAGAGACACAAGACTTCATACATCCCTTCTCAATAAACAAGATTGCACTAAGGTAAATACCTGACTCCATCAATTTCTATTTGCAACTGGAACATTCCCAGGGCCCTGAACTTTGACTAGCCACTTGGGTTGAAAAGGGGCAACAATACACAAATAGAGCCCAAAATGTCAAAAGCAGCCTCTAAAATTGCCCCCAGCCAATTGTGCAGCCACATTTTCTCAGTGATCACTTTTCTATGTCTGCAAAAACTTACATTTGCACATGCCATCTACATCCATGCTCTGAAATTGGGTAGAGGACTAACCACCTGCTTTGCATGAGCCAATGCAGTTGCCGGGGCAACTTGGAGCTTTTATACATAGAAACAGTTGGATGTACAAAATAAGGGTGCAATATTAGGTTAGGGACTGGCTCCTTTGAAAATCTGACCCTTAGTATTTTTCCTAATGATCTGGGAATGTAAACAGTCTGGGGGAAAATATTCTGAAAAGCATTTGCAGTTCATCTTCAAAACTACAGGGAATATTTCTGGACATATACCTGTCTGCATATGGCACTTTTGTGATGTCTTTCAAGAATACAACTGCAGCCAGTTGCTGCAAAGCAAGGAACAGTTAGAAAAATCTACATAAAAAAGGCTTGCCAGCATTTGCAGATCCATCATTTTTAAGTATGAAATCTCTGGAAAAACTGCTCCAGACCAAGACTTTGATGGATAGGTACTGGATGCCCTTCCAATGAAATCAAAGAACTAAGCCTTAATTGTTTTAACTATTAGAAACTGATCTGGCTTTTTGGCAAATGATGTTTATGAAATGCTACAGGAAAATAATTTATTGGCCATCATTTTGGTGTTCAGGATGAAAATATTCTTTAGAATCCTTTTTGAACCCACAGATGCCTAGAATGAAATTCAGAGCAGTGGTACATGGGTTAAGCTCCTGTCCCCTTGTTCTTAAAATGTTAAAACACTGTTCAGCTTTCCACAGAACTTGGAACTATAACAGTGCAATGCATACTTAAAACTAATTGGCAGTGAAGTGTTGCTTTAGGCTTACAAACACTGTCTTTTTCACTTCTGGGGCCTGGGTTTAGTCCAGCTTAATCCAACTAAAAATTGTTGTCTTGAAAAGTCTGAGACTGCCTTGAAATGGGAGACTTTGTAATTGCTTGCCTAAAAATCTTCCCTTGTCAAAGGAATTGATCCACTTATTCTCAGTGTGGGTTGTCGCCTTATGCAGCTGTAGGGGGCAGAATCAAAGCTGACTGCACTACTAACTAGGGACTAGCCCTCACCTTCCGGAGACGACCTCAGTTTCGAGATGCTTCCAAAGCTAGTCTCTCTGGACTGTAAAACAAAGAATGAATCTCTCATTTGCATGTTAGTACTCAACAAGATAACACTATGAACAAGAAACATTTAACTACTGCAGAGAACTTTAACAATATGTTAGACAGATCTCCCTTTTTCAGGGAGGACTGGATCTAGCCCTTTGAAGAAGAGAAAATTTTCAGGTAAGCAACCACAAATTCTCCCATTCTCTCCACAAATCCACCATGTGGGATTTTCTCAGCAACAACAAAATTCTTAGGGAGGGAACAAAATAATGTCATTGAGAGAAAGGATTCCCTCACCCTAAGGAATCACCATAGTTGCAGGATCCAGCTGCCAAAGACTGCATCATCTGAACACTGAGTATCTATCTTGTAAAACTTGGTAAATGTATGCAGGGATGACCAAGCGGCAGCTTTACAGATTTCATTGTAAAGGGCCTGCCCTTCCCCAGTCCATGATGCTGCCAATGCTCATACTGAGTTGAACTCTGGTGCACTCTGGAAAATTGAATCCTTTGTCCCATATGCCTGTAAGGATCTAACACCCAGGGCTATAGGCATCCTGGATCTCTGACACTCCCTTGTTGCCAACAGGGGAGATGGGTGAAGTAGCATCTTGCCAGTCCTGGAAGGTCAGGCCGCATAGGAAATCCTATTGGAACACCCAAAGCCTGAGGCTGCCTGAAGGATTTGCTCCCACTACAGGAAGTGAGCCACATGGGCCATCTGAACAATTGTGCAGATTCCTGGCTGCTGCTGTGTTGGGCCCTGCACTTTCCTGCCTCCTGCAATCCACATCTAACCCTGTTCCTGACTCCTGCACGACTCCTGTCCTCACTCCTAGCTCCTACCTTGTCCTGACCTGTGCCTGACCTTTGCCTCTCCTCCGGTTCCTGCCCTTACGCCTTGCTCCTGACCATTGGCTACTATTCCTGTCTCTGACTCTGACTCCATCCTTGGCTCTGGCATTTGGTATCTGACCCTGGCTCCATCCCTCAGCTTTGATTCCTGATTCTGACTCCGGCTCCATTCCTGGCTCTGGTATTTTGGCAGCTGACTCTGGTTCTGACCCCTGCTTTTGTTCCCCAACCTAGACACCCACTCCGCCCACTAGATCCCACTCCTGCTTAGGGTTGCCACCTTTCTAATTGCTGGTAACTGGACCCCAATGGCCCTGCCCCTGCTTCGCCTCTTCTCCTGAGGACTTGCCCCCTTCTCTGCCTCTTCCCTCAAGGCTCTGCCCCTTCTCTGCCTCTGCCCCCAATGCCCCACCCCCTTCGCTCACTCTTCTGCCCCCCTCCCTCCATTGCTCACTGGATTGTCCCCACCTCCCCCATGCCCCAAGCTGGGCTTCCTCTCTTCCAGGGCTGGGGTGGGAGCTGCTGCAGCCTGACAAGGAGCCTGCCTGCAGGTAGGGGGCAGCCCCGACTGAGCAGGGACTGGCAAGGGTTAATTACCAGGAGGCTCTCCCCACTTGCAGTATCTGCACTTTGGGTGTCTGCATCTGACCTGACACTAACAGGCCCCCTTTTCAACCAGACTGTCTGGTAAAAAAACAGAAACCTGGCAACCCTAAAGGGCACCTGGACACAGAAGCCAAAAACTGGACTGTCTGGGTAAAACCTGGATGGTTGGCAACCCTACTCCTGCTTTGACCAGTAGGCCAGACTGCCTATGTCCCAGTTCCTAACAACCCCTCACTAAAGCACCAGCGTAGTCACTGTGATGCCTTGGAACTTCTTTGTCTTGGATAAAATAAGACCAGAAAGGCTGTTTTACTTATGCTCTCAATTCTTTTCAGATAAGCCTTTAAGGCTCACCTTATATCCAGCAAATGCCATAGCTTCTTGTTTGCGGGAGAAGTATGTGGACAAAAAGAAGGCAACGAGATCTCTTATGCTGGATGAAAAAATCTAATTTACTTTTGGAATAAAGTGGGATCCACTCTCCAAACCACCATGTCTTTATGAAAGATGCAGCAAGATGGATCAAGTGACAAAGCTTCAAAAGCCCTTCTTTCTGAAGTGATAGCGATCAAAAAGGTCTTTTTGATAAACAAGTAATACAATGAAACTGATTTTATAGATTCAAAGGGTGCCGGCAGTAAAGCATTGAGCTCAATGTCAAATTACAAGATGGAGCTCTGTGCATCTTAGGGGGGTTCAATAGTTACACTCCTCTAATGAAGCAACAATTGTTCTTATGGTAGGAAATGGAAGATTTTCTGGATATCCTCAAAATTGCAGATAGTACAGAAACGTGTTTTTTCCAGGCATTAGCCTGCAATCTGATACGGATTCTTATTAAACCTTTAGAACATGAGACACTTTGCCTACATGATACTGATACATCTCTCCCTACACCAAGCTTTGAATTTAGCCCTGTTTGTTGATTTTCTCTTCAATGCTAACAGAGTTGGAAGATGACCAGTGGAGTAACCATTTTGTTCAAGAAACTTCCTTTCAAAAACTAAGTTTCAAGATTTAACTTGCTTGGATCCTGGTGGAAAAAACTGGACCCTGGGACAACAAATCTGGACTCTGATTCAAGAACAATGGTGGCTCCACTGATATGTTCATGAGGTCAGGAAACCAAGGCCTACTTGGGCAATGGCGGGGGGGCACTAAGATCACTTCCTCATCCATCTTCTTTCTGATCTTCTGCATTACCCTAGTGATCCTGGGGGGAAAGCATAAAGTAAGCCTTTTGGCCATTTGAGCAACAGGACATCTATGCCTAGGGCTGCTGGGGGCAGAGGCTCCTTTTTTTTGCAAAGTATTGGTGAATCTTCTGGTTTGCCTTGGATGCAAAAATAACCAGAATCATAACTCTGAATTTTTTGATGATCAAAAGAATGATTTGCTGTGAAGACTCCATTCTTTGATTGATTTTCCTGCTGCTCAGCCAGTCAGCTTTCACATTTTTACTGCCCTTGACATGCAAGGCCCTGATAGACTAGGTGGGCTTCTGCCCACTGCATCATGGAGATCCCATGAGCCCTTACCAGACTGATGGTTTGTGTACACCATTGCCAATGTATTCTGTCATTACCAGAATATGACTGTTTGGCAATGCTGGGGCCAGTTGTTGAAAAGCATACTTTATTGCCCTCAGCAATAACTTTGTCTTTCTTTTGCTCTGAGAACAACTGTGTCCCTTGAGCCACTAAGTTCTTGGAGAACACTCCCCATCCTTCCAGACTGGCATCTGTTGTTACAATGACCTCTCTGGCTCTTCCATGGCCATCCCTCCCTGGAATCTCTTTGGACTCATCCACCAAGCCAAGGATTTCAAGGCAAGTGATGGAATGTTCACTTTCCGAGATGGAAACATCAGAAAATGGTGGTGAAAAAAGAGCAGGAAACTCTAGAACAGGGGTCTCAAAGTCCAGGCCCACTGGCTGGCAAAGAATTGTATAAAGTTGTATGGACAGTTTTATTATTTCTAAGAAATTCAAAATAAAAAATACAAAATAAACATTTTCTTTTCTGAACACCATCTTCAGTGATATTATTGGCCCGCTGGGAGGACTTGAGGACTGGCACTGGCCCTAAGGTAAATTGAGTTTGAGACCCCTGCTCTAGAGAGTCCTCATATAAATTCTTACCCAAGGCATTACACCTATGTAGGATACAATCATTTCTAGAATACTTGTTACTATCATCCTTAGGCACTTCCTGAGCTGCTGATCTGATTTTGTCCCATCTTTTGGCTGGCGGAAAGATTTTGTGGCTCTTTGCATCGATGTCTGAATTGTTGACTGAGTTGCTTGAGTGGATTCTCTTTGGATGGGGCTCTAACCAAAATGTCAGCCAGGAAAAGATATACCTGTATCTCCTCCTGCCTGAGAAAAGCCTCCAGAACAACAAGGTCTTTTGTGAACACTTGAGGTATGGATGACTTTCTGAAAGGCAGCACTTTGTATTGAAAATGATCAGTTCCATGTGCGAATTATAGAACTCTCCTGGGCACCTGGTGAATTGACCCATGAATGTAGGCCTTACCTTACATCAGTCAGTTTGAGAACACCAGTGGCAGATCGCCACTGCTATGAACTTCAAGTTCTCCATCTGAAAAGCTAGTTCTCCTTATGAACTTATTCAGATGCTTTAAGTCCAACACCACTCTATCCTCCTTGGATCTCTTGAGTACCAGAAACAAGACCAAGTAGTGGCTGGAGTACAACTCCAGCTAGGGAACTCTCTCCATCATGCTGATTCAGAAAACATGTTCTATGGCCTTTAGCATATTTCACCTCTTTTGTGGGTTTCAGGATACCAGAGAAAGGAGAATACAGTGATTTGGAATCTTGGAAAATTCTAGGATATACCCTTGTAGAACCCTATCAAGGACTTTTCTGTCCAATGAGTAGAGAGGCCACTGGGTCTTGAATTTTAATAGTCTCCCACATAGGTGTTGCTCATCAGAACTCACCTGAACATAGTCAAGCATTGTTTCTAGTGTTTAAATGTGCATTGCAGAAAGACTGGTCTCTCCCCTTTCTGGGCTTAGACATGTTCTATTTGCTTTTATTATAGTGTAGCCTTCCATACTTACAGGAGCAGCCACGAAAAGAATATTTAGATCTGTAATAAGATCAGCTATCCCTTTTCCTGGATTTGGAGTTGGGAGGGGCGGGGGTTTGTAAGGTTGGGATTTTTTTGCTTTTGTTATTTACCTGAGGATTACACCACCACTTTGTTACTGACCTCCTGAATATTTTGAAGCCACTATCATGATTTTGACCTTATATTGCCCTTCCAGGCATTGTAACCAGATGCACCATCTGGTCACCACACTGGAGGCCATGGCATGTGCTGAAAACATCAAAACATCTCTGGTTGCACTGGCTATGAATACTGAAGCCATTGAGATTTTTTTAAAACTCTGAACCTAAACAAAATGATTTCTTAGCCTTTTTTGGCAGTCTGGCTGCCAAACTGTCAGTCCAGGACAGTAGTATTTTTGCAAAATATTAGGCCAGAGTTGAAGGCTTCAGAGAGGAAGATTTAGCCTCAAACATATGGCACTGTGATATTTCCATTTGGTTGCTGTTGGATTCTTTTGGGAAAGATCCCCTTCTGTTGGGAGAGCAATATCTTTGACTAATGTGAAATGGCCCCATCCACTTTGGGAAGACACACAAAATCTGCTTTGCTGTGGTGCACATTGTAGAATATTTGGACATGTCTGGACAATCCATAGACTCTTCTGGTATCTCCCATTTGGACTTAATTACTCTTTCCAAAAAGACACGGAGGAGAATGTGTGATTCAGATTTTTTCAACCGGTTGGAAAATATTTCTTTCTTTGTAATTTCTGTACCAACTCTCTCTTCTTCTTCCTTAAGATCTTTTTTTAATGGTTTCATTTGATGGCATACTCAAGTATCCAATCACCTTTCAGAACATCTTTTCAAATGGTTCAGTTGGGAAAAGATTCTTGTTTTGCTTCATCCTGCAATTCAGACTCTGAGATTGAGAATTCACACTCCTACTATGAAGAAGATCCTGATTTTACCCTGGACTTCTTTTTTCCTCTCTTGGACTTAGACGTTCTAGCCTTCTTTTTCTTTGGTGAGGCCCATGAAGATGAGGAGGAAAATGAATTCATGATGAAGATGAAGAACCAGACACAGACAATTCTATTCCTTTTATTATGTTTTTTTTCTTTCCACTGGGTAACAATGCAGCATATAGAGGAAACTAAGGCACACACAGGAATTCATAACTTCATCACAGCCTTTAAGGGAGACACTGCAGCTGCTGCCTAAGGCTCACAGTGTGGCAGCCTCTGAGAGAAAGGTGCTTTTTGTGCCAAATCCAAGAGCTCCTAGCCCAAGAGGGAATTTCTTTCTGAAGGGGAGATTCCCTTCTTTCCCCCAGCAATGCATAATTCCTGACTTCCCCTGGGACTAAGGGAAGGAAACTGAGTTGCATGGCAAGGAAAGGGGTGAGGAGAGGATGATGAGACCCACACTGAGGGAGGGCATGTGCCCAAAATGGTCTTACCTGCTGCTTCTTGCTCTGTCTAGGGTGCATTCAGCTGGTCCAGCTTATGTTTTCCCTGTGCCCTTTGATGTAACCACCTCCGATGGCCAAAGGGCTCTCCTTATTTTTCTGCCATCCTTTGAGATGTTTGTGGCCTGACTCCTGCTGGCGGGGAGTGTCTGGGGAACTGGCTCCTAGATTTGAGTAAGGCAGTCAAGGCTAAACCTTTCTGACCAGGCAGATGAGGTGGCTGGAGTGCACAAGACACAAACCTCTCTTTTTTGCACCCTCTGGCAGGGATACAGAGCTAGAAGAAAGCAAATACGCCTCTTCAGGGTTTTTTTTTAATTTTCTCTCTTGCAGGAGGTGCTGGATTCACTGTCCTGCCAGTAGCTACAAGAGGTAGAACAAAACTGAGGAGGTCTCCAGAAGGTGGGGTCTAGTCCCTTGTCAGCCATCCACTCAGCTTTGATTCTGCCTCTACAGCTATAGAAAGGTGACGAACCACACTGAGGATTTATGAACTTAGCCCTGAGAGAGATAATGCTGTCCTTGGGAGCCAAAAAATCCTACCGCGTTATAGGTGAAACCGCGTTATATCAAACTTGCTTTGATCCACCGCAGCCCTCTGGCAACTGTGATCAGATGAACATTTTGTTCTTCATATGGAGCATCAAGTTTCTGGAGCTTGAGCTGCCCTGGCATGAATTCTTGAAGTGAAGGCACTAATGTCTGGTCACTTAAACCTTCTTATTGGCTTTAACAGCAAAATACAGTTGGGTTTGTGAGCAACACTCTGGCTGTGTTTAGTAGCAGAGGAGACTTCAGAAATGGCCACAGAATTTGAATGAGGTGCCGTACTTTCCAGTTATATTGTGCCCTGTCCCTGTGTGGGTTGGACCTGGTAGAGTAAGGAGCCACTGTTAGATCACAAGCAGCCTGCTGGTAACTGGAAGCCACCACACTCCAGGAAAAAGTGATCAAGGGAAGAGACAATTTGTTCCTGCTCTTTGGGCAATGACAGTGTTACCTCTGAATAACATGGATAAAGGTTGCCTCTCGAGGAGGGATTAGTCTGAGTACATTTAGTGGGACTGGACTGGATACATTGCAGACTACTCCAAAATCTACCCAGTAAGGTTAAAAGCAGACTGCATGAGGTCACAACTCCAGGAGAGAGAGAGAGAGAGAGATCTCTGAGGTGAGTTTGAGGCAGGTTGATTGCTGGGAAAAGGACATTATAAGTGTATTGAAAGTTGACCAGCCCTAACATTTTGTTATAACCAATGAAATGCCACCATGGAGAGATGAGACTAGACACTTTTTGTGATACTAACAATTCTGCTGTCCTTTGTGACAAATCTGTTTGTTGAGTGTAAATTCATGTGTTATTTCTTTATTCTATCTATGCAGGTTCTTATAATCTGCCCTTCAGTGTGGTATCTCTGTGTCTACTGCACCTCTGGCATGCTGCCCTCCATGTTGCAAGGCAAGAGAGAGTTCTCAAATGAATGAGTGAAAGAAGGTGAAGAAGGAATACATTCCTCACTGGCTTGCTATTTTAAATCTATTTCTTGTTTCTTAGTAATACCCTGAATGTCTTTCAAGTGAGACCCTGACTCTGCTTTTGGGAGGAGTTAGAGAGACAAGGTAGGTAAGGTAATATCTTTTATTGGATCAACTTCTGTTGGTGAGCGAGTCTAGCTTATGAGCTACACAGAACTCTTCCTCAGGTCTGGGAAAGGTACTCAGAGTGTCATAGCTAAATATAAGATTGAACAGATAATTTGGCATATGTAGTTAGCACATATTCTAAGGGGCCAGGAAGAGTTCTGTGTAGCTTGAAAGCTTGTCTCTCTCACCAACAGAAGTTGGTTCAACCCACCTTGTCTTTCTAATATCCTGGGACCAACATGGCTACAACACCACTGCACACAACTTTGGGAGAACTTGTGAATTAAAGAGAGACTTTGCTTTATACAACAGCATGTATGTTGGGTTTTGTATCTTTATGAATGATCTGGGTGGCAAAGAGCTCAAGTCTCCATGTTGTATTTAATGCTTATTGAAGAAAGCAGGAGTGAGTCAAGCAGTACACACTCGAGGACACCTATAGATAGTTTACAGAATGAAGTAGGAGCCTACTGATGGAAGAACTAGTTCAGTTTGCTAGCTGGATAAAGAAGGAATACATTTAATACTATTGACTGCTTGCTGACTTCAACCAAATTAAAACACCATGACCTCAATCTGTATTCCTTCCAATAACAATTCCAACCTTTTTTGCTGCCTATATTATAATTCTTTTTGCAAACAGGATGCATGAGTTTATTTGTTTGAAGGGCATTTCCTTTCTGTAAACTCCTGATAGAGGTATTTGCCCTCAAAATTCACTTGTCTTTTCAGGCCTCCTGGGCATACAGCAGTTACTCTAAATGTTCCCCTACCAAAATAGAATAGGTATGAAAAATGCACAAAGTTTATTCTTTGTTGACCAATCTGTCTCTATCATAACCAGCTGTCAGCAACTGTGAAATCTATTAAAATACAATATTACAGGGTTAAAGAGGTAAAAGAATCATTTTAGCCATACTATTAAAAAAATAGCATTGAAAATCACATGAAAAAATACAGAATGTAAAATTGTCTGTTGCCATCCAGTAGATGAGTGTTTGTATAGTACCTCACCTCCTTCAAGTCCCTCTAAAATTCCACTTCTTCCAAAAGGCCTAGGAACCTCTTTCTACCTACTCTCCACCTTCCTCCTTCACAGAGGTATGAACTAATAGGGGAGAATGAAAACAACAAACACAAATCCAACAAACTGAAGAAACTTTAAACAAAATTGTGAAATTAACAAGAAATATCCTTGATTTCACTTTTCATTCACACTTTTCTCTACCTTCCATCTTCCTTTTTTGTCTGTTCATTGTCTAATTAGGGCACAATACTATAACTGTTACACATACTGGCTAGTAGTTATTCATGTAAATAACCCCATTAATAATGGAAGGGCAACACAATTACAATGGAGTGCTCAATGCTGGTGCTCAAACTAGTCTCCTTGAGATGAAACACAAACAGTCCACTGGTCAGCATCCATTTTGATGATTATTAATAACATTTAGACCTTTATATCTAGTGTACATTTTCAAAGCACATTAATAATGGTATATATTTTATTTTTAAGTTAACAGTATGCCAGGCACTTTATAGAAACACACATACCATCTAAATGAATGCAGCATAAATAACATCAGACAGATTGACAGACAAAAGAAAGACCCATCTCTACTCTGAAAAGTTCATACTCGAAGGACCTGATTCTACAACCCTTGTGCACTTTGGATAGTACTTACTCATGTGAGTAGTTCAGTGGGATAAAGGAGTCAGATTCATGGACTGTAGTACCTTTCAAAAGGTTTCTTTCAAAAAGTTTGTTTCTTTCTAAATGTTTCTGTGGTTTTGTTAAAGATTAGAATGAGGATATGCTTTCTGCTGGCACCAAGGAGTTAGAAGGAATGTAGTATGTAATATGTAAGTCCAGAAGAATTCTTTTGCTACTAATTAATTTCCATTTGTTGTAAAGTATTAAAAGAACTGAGTTCTGGTTGATGATAAAATGTTTATTTAAAGTTTTGTACTGAATGTCATGTTGGTATTTGACCCTCAAGAGTGTTTGTTTTGAGGGACAAAAGTACAAAGAGAGTTTTTAGTGGATGACTTCAGATTTAGTAAATCAAATATGAAACTAAGAAAATATGGTACCAATGGATTTGCATAATTTTATGCTGATCAAAGACCTCCTTCATCTTTGGTATGACTAATAAGGAGGAAAGGAGTGGAAACAGCAGTTTATTTATTTATGTAGACTTTAGGGGAATTTGGCTGTGATGCAGTCATTTGGTAAAAGTATGTAGGAGGCTGCATTTCCACAAATTTCAATGAAAAGTGTGTAAGTAAACCAGGAATGAGAGCAGCCAGACTCAGAACTAGATGCACTGGGCAATTTAGCTGATACAAAGTAATGGCCCAAACTTGTTGGGTTCTGAGCCCCTCCCACTCCCATTTGACATTTATGGGAGTGGAGTATGCTCAGCACCTCAAAGGATCAGGTTGCACATATATTTCAGATTATTTCTGCAACATAAAAACGTGGGTTGGGTACAGAGAATTTTAACTATGTTAAATTTATAATTAGAGTTTAGCAAATCAATCATAATGAGTAATTTATTTGGAGAATTTAGTTTCTTTTTCTGCTTGCAGACATCTGCAAGGAGATGATGATCCTCTCAGTTCCATTCAATGCTCACAGTTTTTTATAAACACCTTCTCACATTTTTTACTCTATGAATCAATTGTGAAAATTCAAAATTCAAGAGGTTCTGCTTCATTGTGATTGGTCAAATAGGTCACATGGCATTGTTTCTATTCCTTGAACAAGCAAATACACAAGCACTTCTGACAGCAGTACTTATGTATGCAAGTTTTAAAATTGGTTTCTGTGATTAATAACGTGCAACTTTGAAATTCACTTTTCAGGTATGTTCTTGCCAGTAAAACTTGATTGTTCAAATGTTTACAAAAAGCAGCAGTCCATGAGAGATGTGAACAATGTACAAATCAATATTTGTGGATTTTCCCCCTTACTAATTAAAATCTTTGTATAATTTTTCAAAAACTATATTTCTTAAGGTTTCATTGCAAACATATTTATGAAAACACCCCAAAGCCAGTGAGTATCACACAAAATACAAAAGAAAAATAAATCACATTTTCAAAGGAAATCAAGCATTATATCTAAGAAGATGAGACCTTAGCTAAGTCACAGTAGCTATTACATCACGTATGTAATATGTATAAAGCAAAGTTGGTACATCTCTGTTGATTCAGTTTAGCTGCTTAGAAGCTACTAGGTAGTTTCAGTATATTGGACCTGAACCCATTGGAAGGAATTCTGAGGCCAAGCAGATATGGACCCAAACTGTGTGATTCAATCCATCTCTAGCTCTAGGGTTTTAGGTTAGAAGAACCCTTTTAAGATTTATAAGGCAATTTCCAACGGGGAAGTACAGGAAATGGGAATTCTTTTCAGAACTTCATGGAGGAACAAGTGGGGCAGATCAAGATTTGGCAAGTCAAACACATAGCAATCGCCATACTTTACCAGTAATGGTGCGAACTGTATCATTCATATAAGAAAAGGATGAACCAGTTTGAGGGCATATGAATCTCTCAACCATTTGGGTTTGCAAGGCTCCTTTGATAAACCTTTTGTCCCTGCAATTTAAACCCATTTTTCCAAACTCTAATTAATTAATCCTCCCTACTCTTCCCACTCCCAGTTAAAGGGAAATCATTGCTGTGCATTACTCTAGTGGCCGTCACTAAGATTCACACATGTACACTTAGCCCTTCATGGTGACCCTCTTATTCCAAAAGCACATGTTGCTAGCACTTGAGTTAAAGGAGAATCTCTGTTAGCAATGTAAGACCTCTGACAAACAGTAGGGTGGTTCTTATCAATCCGTTAGAGGGCAGAGTTGTGCACACTCATCGACTCATTACAATTCTTATGTAATACGCAGGTATTTTGAGCCTAATTTTAGTAATGTCTGTGAACAGCTTTGTGATCTTTGGGTGGAAGTTGCTATAGAAAGGCAAATTTTGTGAGTGTGGGATATCGCTGAATCCACATTTCAAAGTAGAAATTCAGTTGTGAATGAAACTCCAAAGCAAATCTGGCTTTCACAGATGAAGTACCCATGAGCTTCTGGGTGAAAGCATGAAACACCCCCAAAAACAAGCCATGGAACAGGTCCAACCATAGAAAGAAAAAACCTAACAAGAATTTAATAAAAATAACAATCTCAGCAGCTAAATTACTGAGGTGTTTCATAGCCGAATGTAATGCTAAAACCACCCTTCCACAGCCTTGAGAAAAACTGTGCACTTCAGCAATGATGAGAACTTGATGCAGTGTATTTTCCAAAGTGCCAAGAGCCAAGAATAATATAACATCACCAAGCAGACTTCAAAGCCCAGTCCCTCCACTCACTCCTCGCTCCTGTGCATCCCTCCAGTGCCAAAGCATACATGGATCGGAGGGCTCTGCTCAGCAGCTGCTCAGAATGTTTGACAGATTTCCCAAACTCGTACAGCACTTGTAAAAGACGTTTCCAATAGAGGCAGCAGTTTGACCATACCATTTGCAAGAACAAAAAAGTGTGAGAGAGGTTTGTTTATTGATTGAATGATGGATTTTGTACTTGGTTCCTGGAAAAATGTATCACTGCAATTGTGTAGGATCCTACATTAGGATATTTTCATATGGGACTGTAGCTGTTTACAGGAAAGGCTATTATTAATCTAGAAGAGAGTACAGGCATTTTAGGAACCATTTACTGTGAATGACAAAGGGGACTTATTAATTCAACACATTAATTGCCTCACTTTATGAGCTACTGTAGATTAAGATAACTAAATGTGTCACAGTTTTAAGAGTGACTGTTTTTAAATGCCAGTAAATTCACACAACAGTTACCACATTTATACACAGTATTGTTTATTTATTTATTTAGAATAAAGAAAAAACTTGATACGGGACCGTAAACAAGTGTCAAACGCTATTTATGTTTATTGGCCCAATAAAAATTTAGAAAATGGATTGAAAAAAAAAAGCAATAGTCTGGGGGGTTATCTGAAGTATCCCCCAGTCAGCGATAGGGCCAGTGTGATTTTCTGGAGTTTAAGGGTGAAATTCTTCATTATGAATTTGAGGGATGCTGAGGGCAGAGCAGCAGAATGGAAGCTTATAATGTACTAGTTTTGTATATATGAGTGAGAAAGCGATGTTGCCCTCTGTTGACTCTGCTCAGCTTCTGCCTGTGCCTTCAGCTTTCTAGCCAACAGCCGAGAGAGCTGAGTTTAGTGTCAGACAGGGGGCACAGAAAAATCCTGGCAGAAATCCAGAATGCTAGAGGTGGAAGGGCATGTGCAGATATTATTCCATTACACAAATATATACATATTAAACATTCATGGCAAAGAGGTTGGTATTCACATCATCCTGTAGACTTATTTTATGTTTTGTTTCTATAATTTTATTCTAAAATATAGAACCAAAAATCTAACCTGATTTTGTCATACATCAGACCAAGTCATCTCGGCACAGGGACAAGGTTTGCTTGAGTGGATCAAGAACTGTTGTGATTTTTTCAGTGAATGAAGGCTGGATTCAAAGTTGGAAGTAAAATTCAAAATCAAGCGAGCGCCACATAATTTGGAGTTTTGTAATAAAATATCCACTTCTATCCCCATCTTATTTCACATCACCCACCCAGAGCTGTCAGACAGAATGAGTTTCCACTGGAGATGGTCTCAAGCTACAAGATTCAGATCTAGATCTGAATTTCAAACACACCATAGTCCACAGTTTTGTTCAGTCTATTAAAATTAGCATCAAAATCCATATTCACCCACAACACATATAGCTAAGAACATCCTTTGTACAGAGGTTCTGGAGACCTGGCCACAATCCCCATGAAGACACTAGGTCAAATGGTGCTCCATACCTAGCATCCAAGGGTCCATATCAAAGTTTGATAGGGCTCGCATCCAGCAATTAGGTTCAGCCCCATCTCTAGTTTCATTGATGATGGAATGGTATATGTTTCCCAGATATGATTGAGCTTGGCTTTGGGTTTTGCCCCTTTTGGAGAGGTTTATAACTCAGCCATAAATATGTGCGTTCTGGCCTGAATGTACAAGACAGAAGCTCACAAATAATATTTGTTTATTTTTCTTTCTATATTAAAATCAGTGTTAAAAATGTGAAATACTTTAAATAATAGAAACCGTGTGATCTGTGGAAATAAGCAGGGTAAATGAAGAACCCTGGAGTAAGCAGGAGGCAACTTCCACTAAAGTCAAATGGGAGCTGAGTCCTTACCTCAAGAATGAATTTAATTGCTTGTCTTCACATGTTTTTTAAAATACTGTGTACAGCCCAAAAATTAGCATTTCGCCACAGATTGGAATGACTCTGATGGCATGATGAGGATCTATGCAAAAAATATGCAATTAAAAAGATAAAGCTTTTGCTACCTTTAGGCCTAAAATTTAAGTTTTGCAATAAAAGGATTTTACAAAACTTTAAACCACTGGAAATGCTTTTAAGAAATATATTGAATTAAAACAGTTTTATATTAATTTATTTTTGTGGAAGGAAATGGGGTAGGGAGTTTGCATTCAAGAACACACAATATCATAAGCCTTGATATACTTGAAACTCCAATAAGTTTTGAAACACTGGGGAAGTTCCAGAGGACTGGAAGAAAGTTAATGTTATGCCAATATTTGAAAAGGGTCAATGGGACAACCCAGGTAATTACAGGCCTGTCAGTGAGACATTGATCCTGGGCAGAATATGGGACTCAATTAATAAAGAATTAAAAGAGAATTATAATTAATACCTATTAACACGGGTTTATGGAAAACAGAGCTTGTCAAACGAACTGGATATGTTTTCTTGATAAGATTACAAATTTGGTTGATAAAGATAATAGCATTAATGTAATATGTTCAGACGTCTATAAGGCATTCGATTTGGTATCAGATGACATTTTGATTAAGAAACTAAAATCACACATTAAATGTATTGAAATTGGCTAACTAATAGATCTCAAAATGTAATCGTAAATAAGGGATCATTATAGAGCAGGTATTTTTCTAACAGGGTCCCGCCAGGCACTACACTATTTAACATTTTTATCAGTGGTCTGGAAGAAAACATAAAATCATTACTGATAAAGTTTGCAGGTGACACAAAGTTTGGGAGAATTTGTGGTTGCTTACCTGAAACTTTTCCTTGCTTTGAAGGAATAGGTCAACAGAACCTCAGGGTTTGTTATATATGAGCACAGCATGCAGGATGATCAGCTGAGGACTGAGTAGCTACTTTGTAAAGCCTGGTAAATGTATGCAGGCATGACCAAGTTACAGCTTTACTGGTTTCTTAGATCACAATGCCGCCACTGCTCATACTGTATGAGCTCTGGTGCCCACTGGAGGACTAAATTCTTTTGCTCTATACACAACCATGAGACCGATGATAGAGATGCCTTAGCACCACTTTTTCCTGGATGAAATTAAATCAGTAAAGGTGGTGTTTGTCTTATGCTCTTTTCAGATTAAATTGCAAGGCTCTCCTTACATTCAGCAAAGTAATAGCTTCTCCTTTGGGTGAGAACGATGTGAACAAAAAAGGCAATGAGAACCCTTTTTCTCAATGAAAAATCCTATTACATTTTGGAATAAAGGTGGGACCCATTCTCAAAACCATCTTATCTTTGTGAATGATGCAGCAGGATGCAGTGACTCACACTGTTCTTTCTGAAGTGCTAGCAATGAAAAAGGTCTTTTTGATAGACAAGTAATAGTGAAACAGATTTCATAAGTTCAAAGGGCACATGCATTAAGGCAGTGAGCACAATGTTCAAATCCCCAGATGGAGCTCTATGCACCTTATGATGACGCAATAGCTGCACTGCTCTAATGAAGCGACAACTGTCCTTATGGTAGGAAATGGAAGATTTTCTGGATGCTCTCAAAATTGCAGACAATACAAAAACATGTACTTTCTAGGTATTAGCCTGCAACCTGATATTGAAACTGTCTTGC